TTTAATTTGGCTTTAGTATAAGTTATAGATATTTATTATTTTTGTGTATCCCCTGCTCCTTACTTTAAAAGAAATCTAATAGTTTTGGCCTTGCATTGTTTTTTTTATCTCTGAAATATGAGTTTATAGCTTATAAATAAAAGTCCGAGATAGCATCCGTTATAGTTAATACTTCTACGTGCTTTTACATGTTAAAAGCGCTGTTCCTTTGCTTTTTGTGCGTGTTTTTGCTGTGCATGTACTGATTTTGTGTCATGGATGGATACCCAATATCCTTGTTTTATTCTATTAAATAACTGTTTCTGGTACTCGTGTTGTGCCATCAACAACGAGATATCTACTTTAAGAAAAATTTCTAAAAATGAACATGATTAAGGTCATGATATTTGATCGACTTAATCATAATGTTGCATAATCATAATATTTGTTATTGTTCACAGTTTTATTGTATTAAGAGAATGTGTGTAAATTCACCTCGCATGACCTTCATGATGACTATTTTTATAAGTCCTTTTAAAAGTAGTAATGTCCTTGTTGATGACACCAAACCAAACCAAAACCTCTTTCGTGCCGATATGCTGTATATTTTGACTTCTTCAAATCACATTGATAACAAATAAAGCAGATCAGAAGTAACAGTTTCATCCTTTCAGATGATTTTATTCTCTATTTCAAGAAGCGATCTTTCGGCTTCTTATAAATAATATTCCGAGTGTAAAAATACTCTAAAGTCATGAACATTGCAGAATAAATTACGATTATTTTAAATCGTAGCACTATATTAAATGACTCTTATATTTTGAACATGGATTCATATATAAAAATAAGTAAAATATAAGTCCATGTTTACATGGAATGCGTTTAAAAGCTCCATTGAAAGTTATTTATCTAATTACACATTATTTTAGCACGTTTGTAGCTAATCTTTTCACCACCTACCTCTACTGTAAGTTAGAAAGGATTGTTAATTTCTGTAGATATTTTACCGGTTATCATTGTCAAATTAAAGATTATCAAGGCTTTACAGATCAACTATGCGAGGCTTGATTTGTGAAACTTTTTTATGTCATTTCTGTATATTTATGTCTTATACCATTTTTCTCGATTGTTTATTTTCTGCCCTTTTTTTTATTCTTTTAATTAAAGCATCATATAAATTCCATTCCCATATTTTTTCGCAATTGCTCTTTATTCGTTTTTTTTTTTTGTAAACCCAATCGAAGGCCCTTATGAACAAAAAATTCGCAGCGAGATATTTGTCGTTATATTCTGTTTGTTTCATATTCGTTTTTTTTTTAATCGATCATGTGATGAATTTTCAAAGGTATTATTATATTGCTTGTGAAATATTGTTTATTCCTGCATCTTCGGTTTGGTATTCCGTAAAGTATGTTCTTTTTCACTGAGATAAATATTATTATCGAATTCTTTGTCCATCTATACTTTTGAATGCTAAATCAATATATTTATTAATAGTACGGAAGCACATGTATTTGTTTTGGTAAAACACGTGTGTTTGTTTACATCAACACGTGTTTTAGAATACCTATAATGTTTACAATGGTTTTCCATTGCAGGTGTAATTCTCCGAATTAAACAGGTATTCTATGTATCGTATGATTTTGGCTCGTGTTTCTCGTGCTTGTTGTTTGATATAAATTAAATGTAATTTATAATGTTATTATTCGAAGTTCTGCCTTACGCTGAGTAGCATACTCCGTACTACTGATCACTACTGCCTTGCCTGTATTGTCGTTTGTTTTCTCGTTCAAATTGTATATATAATATTTGTCATGTCGGGCCGGTTATAACTGACTATACAGTAATTGGATTGTGTTCTTTGATAAAAGCCGTACGATGATCTATTGTTGCTTTATTACATCCACGTCATTAGGACATTTGATTTTTAGGGGGGAGGGGGGATGAAAGTTGAAAAAAATAGGCAGGACAGGAGTTTTGAGTAAAAAAAAGGCAGGATGAGACACTTGCAAAAAAAAAAAAGTCAGGATGACAATTTAGGTAAAAAAAAGTCAGGATAAACTTTAAAAAAAAAGGCAGGACCGAATAGAGTGAAAAATAAAAAGGCAGGACAGAGATTACAACTAAAAAAAAAGGCAAGACAAAATTTTTCATCCTAGCCCCCCCCCCCCCCCCCTAAACAAATAAAAAACACGCAAACAAAAGAAAACAAACAGCACTTTTAAAGCCGACTATACGGTATGGATTTTCTCATTGTTGAAGGCCGTACGTGTTGCTTATAATTAAATCCACTTCATTTTGTCTTTTATGGATAGTTGTCTCATTGGCAATCTTACCACATCTCCTTATTTTTATATCACAAAGCAAGATATTTAAAAAAAAAAAAAAAAACAAATGAAGCCACAATACAAACAGGTCATTTAAAATGATAGTGTATGAATTTTAACGGGAAACGCTCCCAACATATCAAATAAGTAAAAACGGCATTGAAATGGGGGTCTGGGTGGGGTTTAGGGAATAAAGAATAATGACTTAAAAAATAAAGAATAGAGAAAATATGTACAAGAAAAAAGGAACAAAAGTATATAGAAAAACCAATGAAAGGTTAGACAATACTGATTACAGAAATGAACGATGTATAGAACAAAGAAATCATATAGTTATATATATATATTTAATAGTAAATAAATGTTCATTAGAATTTTACAGAATAAGGCTTAGTGTTATCTTTAAAGAGAAAGAAAAATGTGCATGCAACAACAATAAATGAATACAGTTCATATTTAGTTCTTATGCTGTACTGTTACACCACTGTCCTAGGTTAGGGGAGGGTTGGCGCCTTCAAACATGTTAAACCCCGCCATATTCTTTAGGCAGTGGCTATTCGTCCGGACAAATAGTCAAAAATGTCTATTCAAGCCGGACAAATAGCATTTTATGTGCCTGTCCCAAGTCAGGAGCCTGTAACTGAGCGGTTGTCGTTTTTTTTCATTGTTGTTTCACATATTTGTTTTTTTTGGTTATTGTTTTGCATAGTTTGTTCTTGTGTTGTGCCATTACACCACTGTCCCAGGTTAGGGGGAGTTGGCGCCTTCAAACATGTTGAACTCCGCCACATTCTGTATGTGCCTTTCCCAAATCAGGAATATGTAGTTCACTGGTTGTCGTTGGTTCATGTCTGTCATATTTATTTTTTTGTAAATTGTTTTGTATAAATTAGGCTTTAGTTTTCTCAATTTGAATTGTTTTATGTTTTTCATGTCGGGATCCTTTTATAGCCGACTATACGGCATGGTTTCCCCCGCATTATTGAAGGCTGTACGGTTGCCTATAATTGCTTACATCAACTTCATTTGAACACTTGTTGATAGTTGTCTCATTGGCAATCTTATCACATCTTCTCATTTTTATACAGTAATGAAGAAACCACCATCCCGACTCTCATTAAAGAGCCACATAGTGTTGTACACATATACAGTGAAAAGATTGATAAACGAGGGTGTGGATGGGGTTTACAAAATAAAGAATAATGGGCAAAAAATATAAAGAATAGAAAAAATGTACCAAATAATAAAGAATATAGAGAAAAATATAGAAAGAATAGAGAATAATGGGCAAAAAGTATAAAAAAAATGGCCTAAAAAACAAAGAATACAAAAATGAACGACCCCCAATCCAGACCCTCATATACAGTGAAAAGATTGATAAACAATACCACAACCATGCAAATTACAGTGGCGGATCCAGAACTTTTCATAAAAGGGGGGGGGCTCCAGTCATGCTTCAGTGATTCCTTATATAATCAACCAATTTTTTCCCACAAAAAGGGGGGGGGGGCTGCCCCCCCCCCCCCCCCCCCCCAGGCCCCCTGGATCCGCCTATGAGTTATACTATTGGAGTCCACAGATACAGATGACACGGTTAAGTCTGCCTGATTTCTTGGCGTACATCTTGAAATTTACAAGAGGGTAGGTTGAGTACTTGAGTTGAGTCTTCAGGATAAAGAGAAGTTCTTCGTATCAACATTTTTAACAGCACCTGCATGCTTACGTAGAGCATATCTACCAGATATTCCAGGGCTTGCGTTTCCTATCATGATTTCCTTGGAAGAGGGTTGTACTCACAATGGGAAGCTGTTGAATCAATAATGTATTGAATCAATGGTTCTTCATTGTAAAGCTGAAGTCATCCCTCCGAAAGGTTTACGGACGTCATTATGATTTGGTTAGTCGTTTTTGAGAGTGGTCACGTGTAAGATAAATTAGTTCCATATATTAGTCAATATAAGGAGATGTGAAAATGAATAAAAACACTGGGTATGGCGTTTCGAACACCCGTAACTTGATCAAAGCAAATTAAAATGCGGGTATTCCTCAGTGGGACAGCAATTGTTATATATACGCATCGACTTGAAAAAAACATCTACAGACGTCTAAAGGTCACGGCATACAAACGGTCGATTTACTTTCACCTGTTCTGTGAAGCCGATATTAACCATTATTATAGAATCTATTTGTAGCATTTCAAGTCTTATGTTAATTTGTTTGAGGCTTTGGTGCTAAAAACAAAAATAATGATCATCGAATGGAAATGTCACTTTTAATAGGCTAACTTACTAGATCTGAAGTATAGCCTACCGATACTGTTCAGAAACTTGCTATTTATAATATAATTTGTATGAAAATCTGGGACTATTAGTATAATAGTCCCAGTGAAAATGTATCATTCAGTTTATTCAAATTTTCGGTCTCTTATTAGCCACGCGGACAAGGTAAGCGTTTAGCTTTAGACAGAAAGAGTGTTTAAAATCTTAATTTTTCTGATTAGATTTTTTTATTTATAAACAAGGGTTTCTATTGTACAAATCCTTGTTCTTGATAAGAGTCTTTCGGATACGCAATATTCAGTGTCTGGGGTTTCCGGGATTTTTTCGTATTCAAACCGGTTACTAATCGTATTATACCTAATCTGGTTCCTTGTCGAGTTATTGTATATTTTGACGCTTATTTCAAGTACCAAAGGGAACAGGTGACACCGACTGACGAATTTTGGAATTTTATCAGTAACGATTGCCACGTAATAAAGTTAAACAATGGTATGGTTCTTGGTAAAAGTCATAACTGAAGTTAAAATTCCTGCAATGACAATTTCTCTACCTATAGATGATTTCTCAAATATTTTAGCAACAGAATTTTTGCAGTTGCAAGCCGCTGGCGGAGGTGGATCAGAGACAGAGAGTCGGATATAATTTATACGTTACCCTGCTTTTGCTTTTCTCCTGAAGGGATTAGAATACTGTCCAATTTTGTTCCCAGTTTTAAGTGTACAATCATAAATACGATAGTTTTATTAGCAATTTCAATAAAAAGACCACAAAGTTCAAGAAACTTAATCTGTTAATCTATTAATGGCAAATTTTTGAAATAAACCTTATTATTATTGGTGGCCTTTACCAGACATCACAGACGTTCCCATTAATTTTGATGTCATAAAGTAAAAGTGATTGTTGTATTAGGTCAATAGTGCAAGAGTCACACATTCTCAGGTCTAATGTCACAGATACATCAGTATGTACATGAAAGCAATTTGGTCTTATAGTGTGTACCCCATATGGCATGTATTGATGTAGTCGAAATAAGTATGTTATTAGTCCCCTACCGACAAAGTTGAAGGGGACTTTAGGTTTGCACTCCGTCTGTCTGTCCATCCGTCAGTCCGGCAAATCAGTTTTCCACACTTTTTTCTTTCGTGCTTGAAGATATTGATTTGATATTTGATATATTGTTTTATCATGACAAGTTACAGATCAAGTTCGAATTTTGTTCCGGTCTGATAATTTTGTGCAGAGTTATGGTCCTTTGACTTAGATAATTCACTCAAACATGTCAAATAATCAGTTTTCCACACTTTTTTCGTCATGCTTAAAGATATTGATTTGATAATTGGTATATTGTTTTATCATGACAAGTTACAGATCAAGTTTGCATTTTGTTCCAGTACAATGAATTTTTAACAGGTAGGGGACTATTTATTGCCATGCAATACTATCAGATGCTTGTTAAAAGGATATTTTAGGCAGTGTTCTCCCCAGGCTTTTTGGATAGCACCAGGGTAACGCATGCTCTTGGTAAAGTGATTTGTATAATGTGTCATGTCGCGTTGTGTCGCTTACCTATATTTCTAGTTACTGTTGTTTTTATGTCTTTTGTTTTAATACTGTGGTACTGGGTTATGTAGACATTGAGTCAGAAAATTATTGGTAAAAGAGAAGTAAATCAATAAACAGTTTGTATACTTGCATATCTTTTTGAAATAAATAAAACATGATTCATTACTAAATAATTATAGTGATTAAATCTTTTATAAAATCCATGATCAATTAAAATAAAATATCATTTAAGAAATTAAAAAAAATTCTAGTTTCTAGATAGAAAATTGTTGTATATAAAAGGATTCCTGTCTTAAGGAGACATAGAATTTACAAGAACTAATATTGTTTTATAATTTGAACCAGTTTCTATCTTAAATTGTAATAAAAAAAAATTTCATGAACTTTTTAACATTTTGCCATAAATATGAATTTCATGTAAATATTAACCTTTTTTGTCTTTGGTGATGACCAAACATCATGAACATAGATCATGTAGATACAGACTAAATACTGCACTAAAACCTTAATCTTTATTTGTCATGATCCATTTAAAAAGAATTCCTTAATCTATCTTAGGTCTATAGATCTATAAGTAACCATATTCAATGTCAACAACAAAGTCTCCCTATTTTTCCGCCTAAATGACAGGAAGTAGATATAAATAGATTTTAATATGTGCTTATGGATATTGTTTACTTCTTTCATTCATTAATTTTGGATATAGATATTCAGTTTGAAGGTACAGTCATGCATTTTATGTATAAAATAGATTGCAATTAATTGTAAATAAACTTGAATTTTCTACTTGAATTAACTGGGTCAAAGGATATTAGCCCCGAGATTACTCTGATGGCCAAGGGATGTTTTGCCAGACAAGCTGGGTCAGTAGTTATTTGTCATCATAAAATTATGATATCTTTATTAAAACACAAAACAATCATGTTACAAGTGTTGATAACATCGATTAAATCCAATCAACAAGGTTAACCTCATAAGCTAAATCGATCATGTGGTGTAAACAGTCTGCGCCAAAAACTTTTTCATCTACTAGTCTGGAAACTAAATATCAAAACTTGTCCCTATATGACTATAAAATTTTGAAAATTTTCTCTAGTCCGAATCAATATTTACTAGTCTGGGGCATCGGACTAGTGGCTAACGGTGCAGACTGTGTAAACAATCTGGTTTGACAAATTTCACCTGGAATTTTATACCGCATGGAAAAGATTTAACAAGTCGTTTAAAACTTTACCGATTTACGATTTTTAACTGAAAATTTTAGCACCATGGAAAAAAATTATACATCACGGTAAGACCGATAGAACCACGGTAAAAAATTATACATCGCGGGCCTGCAGTCCTTTAAGGGCCTGGAGAGAACACTGTTTTAGGTTTTTGCTGTGACGCCTTCCTGCAAGATTTTGTCCAGTCAGACTTTTGAGAGAGAATTTCCTTCTCAATTTTGAGACCAAATTTTGCCCTGAAATCTTCATTGACAGCTAGAAGTTTTTGCATATTTTCAAATTCTTACATTTTGTGTGCTTGTGTCCTCAGACTTTGGTGCACCAAATGTGGCTATAGGGATACTTCTTTTTAATTTGCAGTATCAGGTTTGTTGTACTCCATAGAAATATCCGTGCAAAGACTTATAATTAAATTCTAATCAAACTAGTACTACAAACTAGTTCTACAAACTAGTTCCACTGTTTCTAAAGATAGAAGTAGAAAAGGGAAAATGCCAATATAACGGAATAGAAATAAATTTTTGTTTTATTCATTTTTTTTCAATTTTGCCTTATAACAATAAGGGGAGATAACTCAGATAAAATAACTTTTATAAAGGAATGTGTTATGAATTTACCTATTTTATCATGTAGCAAGAAAACTAGTTCTGTGACCCCAATTTTCTTTTTCTTTTCTGAAAGCATATTATTAGACATGTTAGAGCTATCTTCTCATACTTTATCTAAAAATTCTATGCTTTAGTTTTCTTTTTATTACTCTAAATTGGGTTTTCCATGAATAATCTACACAGAATCTGACAATTTTGCAAAATCGATATCGTGAAAAAAAGCCTGGTGACCCATACTTTTTATTATTTAAAAAAAAAAATGATATATACATGATATAATAAACTACTTGTTGGCAAATTATTAAAAAAAAATCTATGGATTTTAATTTAGACCCCCATCTACCTTAATTATAAGATGATGATCAATGGATATCACATGTAATAAATTTATGTGCAAATATCCTATATATATTAAAGTATAATTACTGGTATGAAGATTATTATTATATATATGTAATTAAGATTACAAACAATTTCTTGGAGTTCAAAAATCTGATAAAGTGCCATTGTACACATGTAACAGATCACATTAATCATATTTATCATGGGACACATGTAACAGATCACATTAATCATATTTATCATGGGACACATGTTACAGATCACATTAATCATATTTATCATGGGACACATGTTACAGATCACATTAATCATATTTATCATGGGACACATGTAACAGATCACATTAATCATATTTATCATGGGACACATGACAAGAGAGGCAGCAGATACCAAAGTGATATTTAAACTCATAAGTTGAAGACAAACTGTCAAACTGACAATGCCATCATAGGACATGTAAGAGCAATGGCAAAAACGAAAAACGATGAAATAACAAAAGCAATAAAACACATCTAAACCCCACCAAAAACTGGGTGGTGATCTCAGAGGGTTAGAAGTGTTAGCAGATCCTGCTCCAAGTGTGGCACCCTCCATGTTGCTGATGTAAGTACAAATTTGATGATTCATTTAAGTCTCATTTAAAACAAGGCATGAGAGGAGTCATGTACATTGTAAGCGAGTGATCTAACACACGATGACCGATAAGGTCACAATTTCACTTATTTGAGTTGATTTACCAAACATTTACATATATATCAGTCAAGGGTATAACTCTATAGGGTTATTAAAGTAAATATCATACATGTCAGCATGTCTTCTTACAGATACTTTCATAAGTTGTCTACTCTCTTTCCTTAAATTTTCATAATCTGTAGTAACATATGTTTGTTATTTGTTAAATAAATCTTAACTATTTTTTTAATTTTTAGTGGACACTTGGGAATTCTTGAAACTTTGCGCAGTAACTTAATACATACATGACATAGCCTTGATAATTAATTTTCCAATTAGATTAGTCCATTTTTCATCAACCATGGTAAATCAATGAGACAAGGCTTTTAAGTGATAAACTTAGCTATAATAACAAGGCTTAACTATTACAGGCATGTAACTTATTACATGAGACACTTGGGAATTACTTGGAAGCTTGTACAGATTCTCATTACATGCTCTGATAGTTATTTCTTACAATAAATTAAAGTACATTGTGATTAAGCATGGCATATGTCTTAGCAAAGGCTTTGAAGTGATGTAGAGAAGTTGTAATAACACCCTTTAGTTATTACAGGCATATTTTTTCTGTAATAACATATAGGATTACTACATGTATGCATGATTGGTAAACTTTAAACTGTTATATATATCTTTCTATAGTTTAGTTAATAATGTCAATAGAACTTGTATACAGCTTAACAGAACAAAGTATGTATATCGCTCCTTTGAAACATGTAACATGTATGTTATTTTTTCTAATAACCCTATAGAGTTATACCCTTGACTGTATATGGACTCATAAGAATCAATTTGGACTCAACACTACATACTACTAAAAAGTCCTTGGACTCATCCTGAAAATAATGGTAAGGAATAAAATGATATATATGATATACAGTCAAACCTGCCATAAGCAAAAACTTGTCTTGTCAGGTAACCCTCTTCTTGTTCCACTGTATTTATTGTAAATTATGATTTTTAACCTCAATGCAATGGGCACCACTCTGAATGATTTTTAACCTCAATGCAATGGGCACCGCTCTGAATGATTTTTAACCTCAATGCAATGGGCACCACTCTGAATGATTTTTAACCTCAATGCAATGGGCACCGCTCTGAATGATTTTTAACCTCAATGCAATGGGCACCACTCTGAAAGAGTCTGTTTTTTTCTGGTTCTGAGGCTGACTTTTATTTACAAGTTTGACTATCATGACTATAGATTGTTTTAGCTTTTATTTATTTTTTAATCGTATTTAATTGTTATTTGTTTCAATTACAGGTATAACGAACATGATGTAAGAAGAAAGGCAAAATATATTAGAACATTATTTTTCCATTCCACCAGAGCTACAGATATGGAATGAAGAAAGATCTTAAGTGCACATGAAACAATAAAACTATGGACTAATTCATGTTTTACACAATATAGTATGTACATGTAAGTACATGAATGCATGTCATTGCACATGTTGCATGTGCCGGGAATTAACAGTAAATAGAAATTGATATAAAAAAAGGAGATGTGGTATGATTGTCAACGAGACAACTATCAGCCAAAGTTCAAATGAAGTGGAATATGACAATTAACCCTGCCAACATGGCCTAGTCAGGAACCTTGTCCGCGTATGTTTTATGTGATATGTTAATTTTGTTTGTTCATATTTGTTCTTATTTGGATCTTTTATCATATTGATACTTTCTATTTGATTTATCTGAGATTAATAGATTGACGTCTTCTATCAACTCTTTATGTCAAACGGTGCAAACTAAAGGTTAACTGTAGTCATTAGTCCCAAAACTCAAATTTGAATTTGGTCATTTGAAGAAAAACAATTAAGCATTATTTTGTACCCTCCCTAGATTATAGGCAGAAATATATTCAAATGGAATATGCCCATACCATCACATAACCTTTGAGCTTTGAGTGTATTGATCACATATTGAATGTTTTCAGCCATGTCAGCAGACCTTGTCATTTTGCGAATTATAATAGTTCGAGGTAAACACCTACTGTATTCCTGAAGTGATATGTGTAAAAGAGAAAGGTTACTGATACTTGAGTGTTATATTTTCTATATTTAGTATCAATGTGTTATTTTTTCTGAGAGTTAAATGTTATATTAACTAATTTTAGTAGCAATGTGTTTATTTTTAAAGTCACAAGTGAATATTGTTGCTATTACTATCACCTTTACTAAAAACTATTGGAGTCTATTAATTTTTTAAAGGGAGATAACTCAGGTGTTCCCTTTCAATTGCAAATCTTATAATGGAAGGAGTATGTTTGCTGTAAGTAAGCTGTTTTTTTTATTCTGTAACCACAAATGGTTAAAACAGAAATTATTGCATCAATTTATTATTGCGATTAATGAACAATGGACACAGATACCAGTTTATGTGATTAATGAGCAATGGACACGGATGCCAGATTATTTTTGCAATTTCAGGAAATGATGCATACAAAAAATGCTATCAAAATTTGAAATTTTTTATTCTCGCGATACCTATCTTTTCACAATTTACACTAATATGAAAAACATTGCAAAAATTTCAGAATTTGCAGCACTAGTATTTGCAATCTCTTTTTTAAAACGCGATATTGTTGTGATGTACTTACAAAGTCAAAGTTATTGTCAGATCTGGCAAAATACACCCTGGTTGTTCAACTTGTTCCCTTTTGTAAATATTTGAAAATGAGCCATTGGTTATGTGTTATATTTTCAGACTTAACATGAGGAAGAAGAAGACGCTGTTGCTTTTCCTGTTTGGGATAACAGTCCTATCCACAATATGGTTTGTCAACAACACTTTTGGTAATGGCTCACTTCATTTAGGCCATTTGTATAATAATGGCAAAACAGGTGGCGCCACAAACAATGTTTTTACAATGGCATGGGATAATGATCATCCAGCAAACTCCCTGAAAACTGCATCAGAATCTAATAATGACTTACATTTTATACCAGAAAAAACTGAGTCACAGAACAAGAAATCAGAAACGGAAATTGAAGAAAGGGAAGACAATGAAAGAAATCAAAACCAAGAAGATAAAACAAGATCTGAGAACTCTAAAGTAGATACTATTACAACCAAAGACTTACCAGATGAGAATGGAGGGGAGGAAAACTTACTTGATATACTCCAGCTAAACGACAAGAAGGAATGGGTTACAGACGTTAAGATATGCAGTCAAATTGAAAAAGAAAAATTCGTACAAACAGAAATGCATACACCATCTGGAGAAGTCAAAATTTTTGTTCATGATCCTTCCAATGACATTCATGTTAGTGCTAGTTTAGTGGAACATGGTGAATGGGAGCCAAACTTGATTCAGCTGATTTATTCTCTTCTTGAAAAGGATGATGACCTTAAGTTTATTGACCTTGGTGCTAATATAGGAGTTTTCTCCCTTGCCGTTGCAAATCTTAACAAACAAGTGATAGCTGTAGAACCTTTATCGATCAATGTAAAACGTTTGTGTAAATCTGTTGATGCGAATGAGTTTGAAGATTTTATAACCATTGTTCACAATGCTCTTTCTGATAAAAATGAAAAAGTGAAGTTAGGCAAGGAAAAAGGGAATGTTGGCGGAACTTTCATCGCAAAGGATGAAAACATGAATAAAATTCAAGGTAGTTCCGTAGTAGGTCAATACTCTGATGAAGTAAATACAGCTAAGTTAGATGACTTACTTACTATTCCAGAATTTAACTTGAAAAAAGTTATAATAAAGATGGATGTTGAAGGTTGGGAAAGTCATGTGTTGAATGGTGCCGAAAGATTTTTCCGTAAAGTAGATGTCCAGGGGATTCTAATGGAGTGGATGTGGCACAAAACTGGGACAGAAGCTAACGAAATTATTAACTTTTTTGCTAATCATGGCTATGAGCCGGTAAATCCAAATGGTAATAAGTTGTTAGATGTTCGTTCTCCTGGTACTTGGCCAGTTGATATTTTATGGCGACAGCGTGTAGATACAGGTCATAGTCATGCACAAGTTGAAAAAGGTAATCCAAACGCATCAAACCAAGTTACAAAAAAATCTTCAGGTGTTCAAATGTACCGCCACGATATGACCAAGTGGAATCTTGATGATAGTATGTGTCGTGTAGAGACAGACTTCATGTTAGCCAACATGCATACTCAGGCAGGAGATGTTAAAATTTATGTTCACAATCCAAGTGTTGATGTCCATGTCAGTGGTGGATTGATGAGAAACGGTCAATGGGAGCCACATTTAATTCAGCTAATGTTTTCTCTGTTAGAAGCCGACCCATCTTCTCAGTTCATTGATCTTGGCGCTAATTTAGGCGTCTTTTCACTAGCGGTTGCTCGCTATGGTCGGAAAGTCATAGCAGTGGAACCGTTATCAATTAACCTTCAAAGATTTTGTAGATCTATAAGAGATAATCATTTTGAGGACAAAATTACAGTCATTACAAATGCCTTGGGTAATGAGAGAGAAACTGTATTGTTTGGAATGGATGTTGGAAACATTGGTGGGACATTTGTACTAAACGGGAAAAATCAGGAAAAGCAGCGTGGGGCTCAATATGGAGGTCAGTATGAAGATAAAGTCTTAACAGCAAAAGTAGATGATATATTGAAATTACCTGGATTTGATTTTAAGAAAGTCGTCATAAAAATGGATGTAGAGGGATATGAACATTTTGCCCTTCAGGGTGCTAGCGATTTTTTCAGCAAAGTTGATGTCCAAGCCGTTTTAATGGAATGGATGTGGCACAAGGCAGGATCAGGATCAGAAGAAATTTTCAAGTTTTATTTAAATCGTGGATATGAACCGTTTGATCCATTGAAGAAAGTTGTACTGGATACTTCAACATCTGGATCATGGCCTATTGATGTTCTTTGGAGAAAGAAGCATGTGTCTTCACCTCCAAATAATCTGGACAAGCCTGAACAAACCAAAAGTGTTCCAATTAATTCACAGGTTCGAATGTACAGAAGAGACATGCAGAATTGGGTCAAGGACACATCCATGTGCATTGATCCAAAAAATTTATTAAAAGCAAACATGCACACAAATGCAGGAGACTTGACCATCTTTGTACATGATCCAACTGTGGACATTCATGTAAGTGGAAGTCTTGTTCGTGGTGGGTCATGGGAACCACATCTTACACAACTCATGTATTCATTGTTACAACAGGATTCAGAGCTTCAGTTTATAGACCTTGGAGCAAACCTTGGGGTATTTTCATTGGCTGTTGCCAAATATGGCAGGCGTGTTGTGGCTGTAGAACCTCTGTCCATTAACCTCCATCGATTCTGTGCTTCGATAACAGCCAATGGATTCGAAAGTCTGATAACTGTTGCTACAAATGCATTATCAGATAAGAGAGAAAATGTAACATTTGGGAAAGACAAAGGAAATGTTGGCGGCACTTTTGTTCTCAATGATAAAAACATGAATAAGTTTAGTGGAAGTCCTGTAAATGGTAAATACGACGATGTTGTCCTGTCAGCCAAGATGGATGACATTTTAGATGTGCCTGGATTTGATTTTAAGAAAGTGGTTATGAAGATAGATGTTGAAGGTTATGAGCACCATGTTCTTAGAGCAGCTGATAAGTTCTTTAGGTATGTATCAATGAGTCTACAGATATCTTAATGGTAAAAAATCGGCTTATATTGTTAATCGAATTTTCAACGTGAAGCTACCCAACAATATAAATAGTTAAAATTGTCAATTAGCCCAAATGATTCCACATTAAAGCGTCCTTAAAGAATAATTTAAATTTTCATTGATTGTCATTTCACAGATGGTATAAAAAATAGCATGGATATCATCATGATCATGGATATGGATTTTCTAAGGACCAAAAAAACAGTACTACACTTTACATGCTTTATAAAAAAGGGAATTTTTTTCTCCTTCATGTTCTTGCTGCAAGTAAAGTGAGACACAAAATTTGTTCTATGCTTTTTTCAAAATTTGAACACAAACAAACAAAGCTTTTTATAAATTTGAACACAAACAGAAGAAAGAAATAACAATTTGATTATAAGAGTGAAAAAACTTTATCAGGAAAAGAATATCCGATGCTCCAACTGATATAGTTATTTATGGTTATCAGTTACCGGTAATATATTAATGAATAATATACATGAAATAAGGCAGGTGTTTTCTGTGAAAGATCAAAGCCTGTATAACAGTTTAGTACATTATAGCCCTAAAGAGTTGTATATTTAAAAATATTTCTCATCTTTGCAAAATTAAATTTATAACATGTTAAAGTTTCAACCCTTTTATTAAGGCCATCAATTACAAATGCATGTTTACATGGTGTTATAATAGAGACACCACAAAAAAAATCATTTAAAAGATAATTTATAGTCTTGTACATAATTGGGAAAACCTTACTACATGTAATTAAATGGCTTCATGTTTGAGGTCTGCACAATAAATTACCAGATTTTGAAATAAAAATTATGAATGTTTAATTTGTGTTAAAAGTGTAAACTAAAACAGGATATACATGATAAATTTACCTGATGTTGGTCATCATGGTCATGGTAGTATAATATATTTATTTATAATTTAAGTCATTTTAATGTAAACAAACAAATGCTTTCTTGAATTTTTCAGGTTTTTTGTAATTGTAGTAAAGTTTGACTACATATTGTAATAATTAATTTTACAGATTATACCGGAAAACAATAAAGATAGACATGTCTTTATGTTATTTATCTGCATTTACAAAAATAATCATTTTTTTTCCCTAAAAATTCATTTTGTTTTATATATCTTCAAAAATTGTTTGATGAATAAGCATTACAAACTCTTTGATCATATTTATTAGGTTGTAAGCATGGTAAACTAACAGATGAAATTGGAAAGACATTGCATTCTATTGTTCATGTGTAGTGTTCAAATTAAAGCTCCCAGATCACACGCCTGAGAAATATGCAGTTCAGAATGATTTACATGATTACGGATGATTAATCTTTCTTTCTCTATGAAATTTCTCTCTTTTTGTAGTGAGAAAGTTAACAAGGATAATATACAAATTTTATTTTATCATAATATACTGAATGGTACATTGTACCATACTGTTTGCAATGCTTGGTACATTGTAGATATATATATATATAGATTTGTTGGAAATCATATGCTACTTTATAATTGTTTTACAAAAAATACAGAAAAAAACCAATACCAGAAAAGGATTACTGCAAATAAGTCAGAAAATGGAAAACAGATAATTAACAAAATGGAATGCAAAGGACATGAAGGAAGGTTTTTTTTATTAGGACTTTGTCCTTTAATAAACAAAATAATTGCATTTGTTTATATAAAAAGTCAATGTTCCATAAATAATTTATTATAGCATGGACACTTTGAAGGTATGGTATAAATGGTATAGCTAAAAGAAGTATTATTTCACCTACTCCTCCTATGCTTTTTTTCTTGGGTGTACTGTTATAAGAATGACTATAATATTTTAATTTTTGTTATACCCCCACCAAAATGGAGGGGGCATTTAGTGTTACCCTTTTCAGTACGTACATCCCAAAATAAGATTCTGTTTTTTAACTTTTGTTTGCCTCAACCAAATCTTATGAAACATGTGAAACTTATACACAATGCTTATTTCCACAAAACACAGATAAAGTTTGATTTTGGGTGGTGTCACATTTACCGTTCTAGAGTTCTGCCCTTTACCATGTTTACAAATGGAAAAATTGCTGAATTTTTCATTTCCGTTCTCCAACTTAAGTTTGCCTCAACCAAATGTTAAGAAACTTATACACAATGCTTATTACCACAAAACTTAGATCAAGTTCAAATTTGAGTAAAAAGCAATACTAAATGTATAACAAAAATACAAAAATACAAGGAAAGTTCAAAACAGTAAGTCCTTTATCAAATGACAAAATAAAAAGCTCAAACACATCAAACGAATGGAAAACAACTGTCATATTCCTGACTTGGTACAGGTATTTCCTTATGTAAAAATGGTGGATTAATTTTACAGTTCTCTAGTTTTTCCTATGAAATGTATTAACATGATAAATACACATTTTTTTTACTTCAGACAGTTGTACAATTCCTTACTTACAGTTAAAATGAGTTATAAAGAGTTCGCTATGATAATGAATCTGCAATGAAAAACAATTCCTTTGTTACAATTAAGGTAGATCATAGGTATATATTTCTTGAGATAGAATTTTCTTATACTTTGCCAAAATGAAGATTTTACTATGCTTTTTTCAAAAATATAATAAATAGTATGGGTCACCGTGCTATTTTCCAACCTATGAGTCGTTGAAAATTGCCTAAATTTGGTTAGATTGTTCATGAAAAAACACATTTGTGTGCATAAAAAAAAATCTATGAGATAGAATTTTGAAATAAATTGTGAGAAGATATGTTTTATAATATGTTTTAAGAAAGTAAAAAGAAAAAATGGTGACACCGAAGTTGTTTTCTCGCTACAGGTAAAAATTAGAAATTTCCCTATCAGTCCAGTATATATTTTTTACTAAAAGAGTTATCTCCCCTTAAATGGCTTATTTGAAAAAATTGATTCTAAAAACACAAAATTTGATATTTGTTTAAATATTTTGAGTTATACAATAAATTACCAAGATTTCTTTATATAAATAAACAGTCTAACCAATAAATTGCAAATCTTTCTTCACATTTGCAGATTTGGGCAAATAACTAGACCGATTTTGTACTGGGATTGTACAATCCAAGATGGCGGTATACCATGAATCTACCTTAATAGTGCATTGAAAGCCATGCACTCTGAAAATATATTGATTGACTGTTGTTATTTGCTTAACGTCCAGTGGAAAATAGTTCATGCATATTCAGGACCAGAACAAATTATCAATAATTTAATGCAATTGCATTGGTAGTTTCTTAAGTAAAATGTTAAGTGAGAGATTTACCTCTTAACAGGTTAAAAAAATTATTTCTATGGTTACTAGGAAGTCCTACTGTCAGTAAAACTCTTTTCAGAATTAGATTGATTGTTGACATTAAATACCAATTTTAGCGTTTGTGGCTATTTCATGTATCACCAGTTTTTATTGGTGGAGGAAGCTGGAGAATTAAATACAACATCCCTTGTTTGATACTTTAATAAGCATGAAAACATTTAAAGTTGTAATCAAGAATGATTGCATTTTATTTTTTGGAAATATAAAGGCAACTGATTACCTACTATTTGTTTATTGGAGGAAATAAAGATATATATCAAAGAAAGACAACTCTTTCACAAATGGGAGACAACTCTGACAGTCTATTCCAAAATTTTAAGATTTTTTTTTCATTTCTTTATTTGGTTTTAAGCTCACCTGGCCCAAAGAGCCAAGTGAGCTTTTCTCATCACTTGGCATCCGTCGTCCGTCGTCGTTGTCCGTTAACTTTTACAAAAATCTTCTCCTCTGAAACTACTAGGCCAAATTTAACCAAACTTGGCCACAATCATCATTAGGGTATATAGTTTAAAAAATGTGTCCAATGACCCCGCCTGCCAACCAACATGACCGACATGGCTAAAAATAGAACATAGGGGTAAAATGCAGTTTTTGGCTTATATCTCTGAAACTAAAGCATTTAGAGCAAATCTGACATGGGGTAAAAATGTTCATCAGGTCAAGATCTATCTGCCCTGAAATTTTCAGATGAATCAGACAACCCGTTGTTGGATTGCTGCCCCTGAATTGGTAATTTTAAGGCAATTTTGCAGTTTTTATACGACCGCAAAAAAATTTTGTGGTCGTATATTGGTATGACGTTGTCGTCGTCGTCCGAAGACACATGGGTTTTCGCACTCTAACTTTAGTTTAAGTGAATGGATCTTTTTGAAATTTGACCATAAGGTTAAATACCACAAAAGGAAGGTTGGGATTGATTTTGGGGGTTATGGTACCAACAGTTAAGGAATTAGGGGCCAAAAATAAGCATTTTCTAGTTTCCAGACAATAACTGTGGAACGGTGTATGGATCTCTCTGAAATTATACTACAAGTTTCCATACCACAAAGGGATGGTTAGGATTTGCTTTGGGGGGTTATGGCTCAAACTGTTTAGGAATTAGGGGCAAAAAAGGGGGAAAAACAAGGTTGTCCTGGTTAATGGACAAATACTTTAGTACAAAACATAATTTAAAGCAGTGTAAGGGAGATAAATCAAATACATCATTGAAATTATCTCCCTTACACTGCTTTTAAATTATGTATAAAGTAAAGGTTAATGAACAATAAAGATAATTTAAAACAGTGTAAGGGAGGTAATCCAAACACAACGTTTTGGTTACTTCCCTTACACTGCTTTTAAATTATGTTTAAAGAAATGCATATTTATAAAGGAAGACCAGTAAAAATATCTGCAAATGTTGCAATTTTTTTTTTTACAAAAAAATCCATATGAAAGATTTGACACTATATTTTTAATTCTATTATAAAATAGATTAAGTTAGCACTATGGTAAATTTAAATGGGTAATAATGGTTGCCAACTCCATTGGAAATTTGAATTGAGATTATGACCATATCTTGAGGGAAAAAATTTTTTGGGGGAAAAAAGGGGGGGGGATAAAAAGAAATTGTGGGGGGTAAATTTTTT